TTTTGACATCATCGTGTTCGCCTTGTTGAGATGTGTCGAATGATATACTTTTTGTTGGGGTAAGGTCAACTTAAGGCGTTGACCTCAGGTCACGGTCAGGTCAGGGCTTCTAGGTCACGAAGTTTGTCGAATGAGGTCATGTCGCATATCTTTTGATTTGGCGGGTCTTCCTGAACTCCATTGCTGGCTCTCCCGACTCGCTAGTTCCATTGGATCGATCAGGAGTTATTGACGAAAATCTAATATGGACCTAGTGAAGTCATAAATGACGTCACGCAAAGTCAACATTAACAATGCAAAAGTGACGTATCAAACTTGCAAGGAGTGCATGAAATCACGACTTGATGTGCTTGGGATTGGGATAGCCTGAGGTCTTTCCTGACGCCAAAATAACAGTTTGTATTTTTCTCCATTGACTTGAAATGGTGAGGTCACGTAACCGACCTTTCGTCATGAGACCTTTAGGAAAAATCTGAGATGCCTATACAAGTTGTGAGACCTCTAGAGGATACTAGGTCCTGTAAGTTTAATCTCCTTGTGAAAGCTCCTCTGGCACTGAGAGCGTTGCGAAGTTGCGACCTCTGAAGATCGTGCAGAGGTTCACTTCTGACGCCGTAGGTCAATGACCTGACCTGACCCGAAAATGCGGCTCGTGTCAAAATATAACCTGCCGATTTTCAAAATTCGAATGGCATTTGATTCCCTCAACATGATCTACATTTTGAAGAAAAAAAGTCCCAAAAACGCAAATAGGGGGCAGTACCTAGGGGGGATAAAAACTGCACATTTCAGATGCCTTTTCAAGTCCTCACCACGGCCATGTTTTTCAACCAATTTTGACGCAACTACTGCCGATTAAAGCAGGATGAATCAGATATTGACATGTATTACAAAAATGAGCATTTCGAAATCATAGGCGAATACAGGTTATGGGATTTGGAGGCACATGGAATACATAATCAATCAGATGTTTTGTTGGTGCTGTCACCAAAACGGGCTGGCAAATTAATAATCTTATTATAATACAAAGCGTGTGATAAAATGACTAAAATAAGATTGAATATTCATAGGCGGCGTCAGGGCACCGAAAGTGGGAGGTGACATTGACCTTCTCTCCTTTGCCCTGGAACCGCCTATGATCCGTTTCTTGTTCACTTCTAAAGCTGCTAGGTATAGCTACAAATAATGTTGATATACCTACATAATGTATAATTACAGTTATAATCCATCAGCATCGTGATCTTTAACCAAATGACTCGCTTCACAAATTGGACCTTCCGATTCCCCATGCCCTGGAACCGCCCCTGATAAAGATATCAACTTAACCCGCGCCCCGTAGGGGGGGGGCCGAAACGGCCCCCCCCTGTCCTTTTCGGTCGATATCTCCTAAACGGCTGGAGATATCGCCACCAAACTTTCCGGACCCCTCCGGGCATCAATTTCACACATTGTGACCAAAAATTTTTCCAGAGGCTATGATAGGTTGGCCACAAATGACGTCAGAGTGACGTCATGTTCTGTCATTTTCGACCGAAAAAAGACCTTCGCGAGAAGACCTGTCAGGCCTACAGCTTTGAAGATACAGAAAAATGATCAAGACATAAAAGGTGTACAATTGACAGGGCTACAAAACTGCTATCTCGGATTTTTGAAATTTTTTAGTTTTGACCCCCAAAAATCAAAAAAGCATTTTTTGGGATATATTAGCCAAAAAAATCCAAAAAGTTTTTTGAGTTTCGAAAAAACCGGAATATATGTGATAGTACCTACCGTCTTCTATCTACATACCAAATTTCAGATCGATACCTCGTTTTTTGGCCAAGTTATAGCGAAAAAACTGTTCAAAAATGATGACGTCAAATTTTCAAACTCAATTTTTGGCAATTCTAGACCTCGTAGAGCAAAACAAAGACCACCATTAGACTCCCCGTGACGAGTTGCATCGAATCGATACCCATTTTATGCAAAAATATCAACTTTGAAATTTGACCTAATTTGACCTGACCTTGACCTGACCTTCACCAAAACGTGACCTAGGCTGGCCCCAAAGGCTGCCTAACCCACATAATCGCATTTGTCATGTAAAATGGACCATAAAACATGTATCACACGACACTTTCATATTGTGACCCCCGGTGACCTGACCTCGCTGTGACCTGACCTGGTATCAGTGACCTCAGATAGCAAAGTATGTGTTTGACGAACAATGTACCATCGATGGTTTTCAATAAATTACCAATTTACTCGATTTCACAACACATTTCTTGAAATGCCTGTGAACGGTGAAAATCTGACCTTTGACCTGACCTGTGACGTCATCGGTTTGACCTAGGTCAATGAAATTTGGTCACAAGGTAGGTCCCGGGTGGGGCTATCGAACGCCGTTTGAATTTTGAAAATCGGCCGGTAACTTTCCGAGATCTTAGGGGGGGCCGAAACGGCCCCCCCCCCTACGGGTGGTAGGGTCCGCCGGTAGCCCTACGGGGCGCGGGTTAAAATGTCTAGGAAAAGTGCCCAGCTTAGTTTTAAGAAAAGTCAGAAAATTTCAGCATCATAGCTCCAGCCGTTTCGAAGATATTCCCGAAAAGCCTCAGGGATGGATGTAAACACCCCCCCCCCCCCTGCCACCAATATGGTTAGCGGAACATCCGCTCTTTACCAATCTAGCGGCAATCGGCGATAGTTCTTGAACAGATCTTCATTCGTCGGCGGCCAGTCATTACCTATCGCATAACGTACTCACGGCTGTCACCGAGTTTCGCACGTCATTCGTGCGATTCATGCCCCAATTTTTTCTTGGTTCGGCAAACTTCGTACGATGGTCTGCCACCTCTTGTGAGATTAGTCGTACGATGATTGCCGACCCGTTATATATGTGACCGTAATTACGATGGATCTGCAGCATTCGGTGATGGTCGGCGGTGGTCGGCAATGATTTGGGTCGTTGGCGGTCGTAAGTGGTCGCAACGCCTAGTGGGACCGGGGCTAAAGTGTTTGTAAAGTTTCACGATACGGATCTAATATCCTGCTATCAATCATGACCATTTCTGGTCAGGTCATGTCTTTGAACATAGGCCAAATTCTTCAAATGACCTCCCTCGCCGGCACAGGGAGGGAGGGTTGATGCAACGGCCCCCCCTCTCCAAGGTTTTTCGCGAATAACTCGCGTAAAAAGCGGCCGATCGCGACGAAATTTTCAGTACCCTCGCATTGATGAATCTTACATCTACCCTGAAAATTTCATGACCCTGACCCAAATGACCTTTGACCTGTGTCCTCTTTTCCGAGACCATGTTTGGCCGGAATCGCGATTCCGCGTTTATCGGCTCGGCTCGCATTAGCCGTGCGTTTGCAAGCTTTTCGTGGTTTCAAGCGTTCAACCATGTGATTTGCTGTTGCTCCGATGCATTAGGGTGGGTGTCAAGATCACCTGAAGGTCAGGTCAGGTCATTGACCTTTGGTGACCTCGGTTTTCTTTTTCGAGTTTTACATGTTTCTACGCCAGTTTTTGGAGCTGAATTCGAATTTAGCAACCATTTGAACATTTACGAAGTAGTTTTGGTGCCTTCGTAACATGTTACGAAGCTGTCAGAGGCGGATGACAGGTATTACGAATACCCGTCGTGACCCCTACCGGTTGACCTGACCTGACCTGATCCGACCTGGTCTAAATGCTTTAAGACATCATCTCTGATCAAAACTAGCACGATATTCGTGATCAGCACCCCGGAAAACCCCATAGCAGCCACACTTTACGACTTTCTAACAGGTCCCCATTTTCCCGATTTTCGGGTCATTGACCTGACCTGGAAGGTCACCCGATGACCTAGGACCTTAAAATTGGGTATCATCGGCTTCCTCTCGTGACGGGCAGCACGCTCGTTTTTTCCGCGAAGCTCTAGCTCAATCAGGGGCCAAGCGCGAGGGGGGGTCGTGCCAACCCCCCCCCCCCTTGAACCGTCGAAGGATGCAAAATGGCCTGTGCCGGTGAGGCTTAAAGATCAACTTTTGATTCATTCGAAGCGTTTTGATAGGAGGAACACGAGACTGGTAAAATTAATTTCGTGCAGGTTTAGCTTAAAACTTTTAGTGTTTGTGGAAAAGCAATTGGTTTTCTCATAATACCGATGGTGGCAGTTGCTGTTATTTACGTGCTAAGCCGTTGACCTTAATTAAATCTGACAATATTATTCAGACATAGCGGTAAACGAGCTGCTTGTTGTGTTAGGTTAGGCTCTTTCGGTCGATTTCAGAGTGGGAAGGATGACAGGAATTAGGGGGAGACAGGGGGCCTGGGCGGGAGTCCTGAGCCTCATGCTCCGCTGGGGCCGAGCCCATCACGTGGGTTGGATTGCCCTGATACATGGATAGCCCTGGGCGGTGTTTCACGGCCCCGCGCTGCAGCACGCTGCGCTGCGCTGCCATGCATTGTAGCGGCGGTTGATATGAATTCGGCTCCACGCTAGCGTTACGAGCTTCCGAGTCTGTTGATGTTTCCATGGAAATTGGAAACCCAATGCACCGGTGCGCACAACGCATCCTGTCCAAGCAAAATTTTACCATCGATGACCTCTGGTGACATGACCTTTTGCTCTGAACCGATCTAAAATTGGCTGAAGTATTTTTCTTCTTTTTGCTACTTTCGACGCTACTTCGAATACCACTTAAATGCCCAAAGCTGAGTTATAAGAATGATGCTCAATCCCCATTTCCCCTCCAACAGGGCGTGAGAGTCTAGGCATTCCTGTGGCTAACAATGACTATCTCATAATCATTGTGGCCATGAACATCTACTGCCATTCTTTAACACCGGTTTCGCTGCGCTGAGCGGTGGCCGTCTCGTTTGTTGGATTCTACAGCTGGCTGGCGGAAAGCGTTACCGGCCGCCCGTCCACCGCCCGCGGGCCGGACCGAGCGGTCCCGCTGACCCTACCTGACCTGATACCGGCGCGATACGGGACAGGCATACGGGGGTTCGGCTCAGCGAAGGCAGCGCCCACTGGTGCTGGGGACTTTTTTAATAGACCTACTGTACACATCGTTAGAACAGTTGGTATGTAGGTTGTGGGTATCATAAGATCACGATGACTGTTTGTGTAGCACATAAGTTAAGGCGTAACAGGCTGTGGCGGCGGCCTGTTACGCCCTGTGTTTTGCGCATCCGCAAAACACAGGATACGCATGAAAACTCATTCGATTGCTGTATATAAGAAACGAGACAGAGACGGGAAGGAATGTCAACCGGGTGGCCGCAGGCGGCGCGCACACACTGGTTCCACTAAATCGTAGAAGAGCCACCGTCAACGCAATAAAATGGATATTAGATATCACAAAAACAAACGGCGCGGGCAGCTCGTGGCAGCGCAGTCGCCGGTCTCTCATCGCTGCACCACATTGAACATGTCACGCACTGTGTTGGCTAGTTTGGATAAGAGCCGCTGGGCGTCGCTGCTGTTGCGCGCCCGCCGGCCGAGCGCAGAGTGCCGGCGTGCGTCTCCAGGCGCCGCTGCAGGGCGCGGAACCGGAGCCAGCCGGTGGGCGGCACCTGGCCAGCGTGCGCGCCGCACGCCGTCAGCAGCAGGCCCAGCTTGTCCGACAGCTGCATGCACGTCACGCTGGAGGCGGACGATGCCTCCAGCGCGCCCTGGCTGCGCTCCACGGCCGCGGCCAGGTCGCGCACGGCCTCCGCCGAGCTGCCGGCGCCGGCCGAGCGGCTGCAGCCGATCGGCGGCGCGCTGGTCGGGTGCGGCGGCGGTTTGAGAGTCCCGCGCTTGGCAGATGTGAAGCAGCGGCGGTAGAGGCAGCGGCGACGGCCGAGCCAGCCTGCTCGAGCCTGTCCCGTCGACCTGTCGTTTTTCGAAGCGCTGACTTGAAGCTGGTGACGGCCTCGAGTACTCGGCGCGGCGCTGCGTGCGCGGACTGGGCACCGGGTGGCCGGCGGCATCACGGGACCGCCGCTCGACAACTGGTCCCTCAGGCCAGTTGTCCCTCAGTTATCCCTCAGGCGGCGGCGGGAACGTCGGGTCGACGATAAAGTCGGCCTCGATGTCGTCAGGAGGCGGCAGTTCCATCGGCGGCGGGGGAAACCCCAGCTCGGCAGGTTTCAGTTTCTGGAGCGACGACGGCCGGCGCCGGTCGGTCGCCGACTCCGCGCCGGCCCCGTCCCCGCCGCGCCGGCAAACACTAGCGGACTGAGCCGCGACAGCCGCGGTCTCTGAAACTCACTGTTGGACGAGTTGGACCGCACCATGGCTGAGGGCTTCTTGGCGGCGGCGGCGGAGGCCGGCGGCCGCACGCCCTCTGCTTCCGTGTGACTGCGCAGCGCGCGGGCCTCGCCTGCCGCTCCCGCGGCCGCCTCGCCACCCTCCGCACTGCCGCGCAAACCGCTCTCCCGCAGCGAGTCCAGGAAGGCGCCGATGTGCGCGCCTTTGGGCAGCGTACCGTACCGCATGAAGGACTCGTTGACGTGGTGCTCCTCCAGCGGCGCCACCTGCCGTTCGTCCTGCTCGTCGTCGGGGACGCCTGCTCGGGTCATCAGCAGCGGCCGGTACCTTCGGCAGCGGCTCCTCTGCAGGGGCCTCCTCCAGCTCGGAGTTTTGACAGCTCGGAGCGCTGTGAGCTCGGTTTGCGCGGCGGCTGCGCCGGCGACGCCCTCCGAGTCCTCGGCCACCTCCTCCGTGTACGAGCTGTCCCGCAACGAGCTGTGGCGTGCACAGGGGGCGGGGACGGGGAACGGTCAGAGCTGGGGCGTGCACAGGAGGGGTTTGGACACGGTCAGAGCTGGGGTATATGCGGGAGGGCGGTGGGCGTGGACTATCGCAACTGCGCCAATCGAAAATGCGACCGAGTTATATCCATACCCTTGAAACAAAAAGTTATAGAATTGTGACGTTGCACTCAAAACACGACAAAGTATATCTCTACTCTAGTCTCTATGCTTTAACCCTCGCCTGCACATGCCATTTTCCAATCCTAGAACGCACATGGGGGGGGGGGCGGTTGCCACCCCCCCCCCGCGCCATTCCGTTCCTGTTGGAGATAGAGCTTCGCGGTAAGGACCAAAAAGTTTTTTTGGGAAGAGACGAATCCAATGATACCCAGTTTTACCTTCTCAGGTCAGTCATTGACCTTCCAGGTCAGGTCAAACTAAAACATGTTGCTTTTTGGGGCCACCGTTAGAATATCACGTGCTGTGCCCATCATATACTGATCGTTTGTGGTGCCAAGCCAGCTAGAACAGCTCTTTGTCACACTATGCGACTAGATTTTTACTGGTTGTGGCCATTTCAGGTCAAGTTAGGTCAAGGTCAATGATATGTGTTTGTCTGTGTGTGTCTGTGTGTATACTGATGTGTGCACAGAATGGTTTGTTTGTGTGTCCCTATTACATGGCATCATAAACTGAGAAGCTTTTACCAAAAAATGCAGCAAAAAACTTCATTAAAAGTTAACAGCTAGCCTAAAATGCAATGCTTTTAGATGACCTAGGGCTAGGTTGACATTGACCTTGACCCTGACATCTATACAACATCGAAAATAACATATTCCATGATAGATGGGAGGTAAGTCCAGCAAAAAAATGAAATCAAGGTGTCAAAAGCTCACAAGACCCATAGCCGACGCAAGATATTGGGTACCTATTGGTCATTTGGGTCATGACATGACCTGAAGAACAATGTAATATCTCCAAAACCAAAAACCACAAAAACTTGAAATTTTCATTGGACGCTGAGAAAGGATTGAGACGCAGCTATACTGATGCGAAAAATCAAGCATCTAGCTTTAAAAATGTTGAGTGCAGAGCAGAAAATACTAACTGGGGGGGGGGGGGGGGCCCCCGTGCAGGCAAGGGATAAAGAATAAAGTCCAAAATTACAACAGCATCATCATACATCTGCGATCTCCACCTTTCAACTGACTGAAGTATCATTGAAGTCGACAACCATTTTCTCTGACCTGCAATTCAACTTCCTTTATTAAAATAATAAACTCTTTTCAAACTTCAGGTTTGTTTTTGTGGGGAAATGTCTTGTTTTCTTCCCACAAAGTTATCCCCAAAATTGGTGACAATTATGATTCAGCTTTCTTCACTTATAACTTATAAATATCAAAAGCAGTCATTTAGATCAAATTAATTTCATCCATTAGGTTTTTTACCTCTGCATGAAAAATGTACAATTAGAAATTGGCAAAAAGTTCCTTTTCGTTGGTTGGTTGTGGGATAAGCACCATATCATATTGGGAGTGGGACAAAGCCAAAGGTGCTAATTGGAACTCTCACCCTGTTCTGATGGTTATTATATGGGAAAAGCTCCCCTAGCTGAGCTGAATTGGGCAGAAACTGAGCTGAGCTGAATTGAGCAGAAACTGAGCTGAGCTGAGCTGAATGGAAACCGAGCTGAGCTGAGCTGAAACTGAGCTGAGCCGAGTGCAGCTGGTTTGAGCGGAACGTGAGCTGAAGTGAGCTGAGCTGCGTTAAACTGTTCACACTGAAATGGCATACAAAGTGAACCTTCCCCCCCCCCCTTGTACATCCTAATGGATCACACCACAAGTTTCTTTCAGAGCATCCTTGATTTTCAGTTAAAACAACCTGCGGTTAACTGAAAATCAAGGATGCTCTCAAAGAAACTTGTGGTGTGGTCCATTAGGATGTACAAGGGGGAGGTGCACTTTGTATGCCATTTCCTTGTCTGCAAACTTCTTCTTGGGTCACATTTCTTTGTCTGACCTTCACAAGGCCTAGCCGTCAAAGACTTGCACACCTGACACCATGATTTGTGAAGGTGAAAAAATGCAAAACAAATATGTAGACAAAATGGAGAGAAATATGCTAAAAATATTTGCTTTTACAATAATACATTGTAAGCACAAATATTTGTGGCATATCATTCTTGAACCTTGCATAAAAAGGAAGAGACGAAGAATAACGAGATAAAGAAATGCCCTCCAAGTATTTGTGCGGATACCAAAACCAAAGACAATTATTGCCATATTGTTACCTTGCATGAATAAAATAATAAAAATGGCAATGCCAGTGCCTCGAAATTTGACAAAACTGGCACCTCCTGAGGCAAAAGCAGTCTATTAAAACTTACCTGAAAACTGTACCCCGAGAATTATATATTCCGCAAATGACACAGCAAAGCCGAGGCATGACCAATTGAAACAAAATAAATAGATCACTCATGCTGCTAACTCATCATTATCCCACAACCAGAAAAAAACTCAAATTCGAGACAAAGGAAACGAAGATCGGTGGGTATACTCCAGCTCCGTGCGCCGACAGCGCCAGCTTATTGGTAAATCAAGTGGTACTTGAATGAAATACGTGACAGGCGCTCAAAATGCAAATGACGTCATCAGATTGCCGTTAATGGTTAAGAGATAGGGCCTTGTACAAGGCCCATTTTCAAATGAAGGGAACGAATTTCTTCAACACCACGAGGCCGCGGGGGTTGCAACCTAGATAGATAGTGGTTTCTGAACCTCGCCGCAAACTTGGCTATCTCAACTCAAACCTAATGTAAAAGTGGGATAGTCCCTTTAACAGCAGGTCACTTGGTGCTTCGTTGTTTGGTGTACTTATCCATGGGTCAGGTCAAATCAGAATCAGAATCAGAATCAGTTTATTCGAAAAAGGTCCGCGTAAAACGGGGCTTTTCACTTTCTCACGTCAATCAGTAAATCAATGGGGAATGTTACTGGGACATCAGACATAATTAAAATCGCACATCAATCTCGCAAACACTCACATAATACCTAATACAATACATGACTAAGTAAAAGGGGGGGGGGACTCAGTTTGATGCCTGTGAGAATGCCACAATTCAAGATTGGCGACGAACGACTGACACTCGCAGAGCATCATCCATCATCAGCTCCCAGCGCCGTCTTAACTTTAACGCGGAAACTACGGTCTGCAGGATCCAGTCGGTGCCTATTCAGCAGCGAAACGCCTCGGTAACACAGTCGTCGCCGACCCGTCTCGGTGCGTATGCGCGGCAACGTCCTGTTTACGGCTCGACGTGTGTTGTGATCGTGGATCTCGTCTGCTTGCGAACCGATGGTGAGGTACAGGCCTGTGGGCTCTTCGTTCCGGATAATACGTTGCAAGGCACATATAGTGTGAAAATCGATGAGCTGCTCAGCTGTAAGCCACCCTAGAAGTTTGATTGCATCTGACACGTGGTCACTTCGCCGCCTGCCGGTGATAACACGGGCACCAAAATTTACAATTTTTTGAATCCTGTGCACTTGAGTAATTCCACACGAGCCGTAGACAGATAAACAATATCGCACGATAGACAACACAAGTGACTCAACTATGACTTTGAGTGCCTGGCCGGGTATAACATGACGAGCATGGCTTAGTGCTATAAGGATACCTGAGCATTTTCTAGACATACAGTCGATGTGAGCTTGAAAATTCAGCGATCTGTCCATAGTGAGCCCCAGATTCTTGACTACTCGCGATTCTGTTACAGTCGTTCCGTTAAAGCTAAGCGAAACAGGTGGAAGGTCACGGAGCATCTGAGGAGTGCCGAGGACAATCATCTGGGTCTTCTGGGCATTAACCTTCATACCATTGCAGCTAAACCAGCGGAAAAGAGCCGCGAGTGCGTTTTCCATCCGCTCAATAAGATTGGGCAAGTCTCGCTTCTTGCCACTGACTAGCACCTGCGTGTCGTCAGCATACTGGATTATGCTGACTTCTTCACTGACACACAGGCTCAGGTCGTTGGCATACAGTAGGTAAAGTAAACAAGAGAGCGCACCACCCTGAAAAACACCGATGGGCACATCTCTAGTTTTCGACAGCTGGTTGGCGACTGCCGGCACATGTCCAGCACCGCTGGGATCCGCAGCCTGCTCCGTCGCCGGCATCCGTACCTGCTGCGTGTGCCCTTCAAGATAACTGCGGAACCATGCGGTGTCTATTCCATATAGTGAGAGTTTTTCAAATGAGGTCAACTGAGGTCAAATGACGTTTTTGCCAATAACTTGGCACATAATAACGCTAGAGCTTAAAAAAATGGTACCATTGTGTTCCTGGTGATCAGCTGAATCGAATGATATGCGATATGATACAGTTTGGTTAACTTGAACTTAATTTATTAATTTAAGTTTACTTAAAATTTAAGAAAAACTTTAAGTACACTTAAGCAAGCTAAAAAGTATATCATTCGACGCGCCTTGACGTGCTGAGTTCACTGGTGCTTTTCTTTTTTCTCTTTCTTAATTAGATCAAAAGTTATAAGCGAAAAACTTTTGACCTGTTTTTAGCGAAATTTTTACATTTATACCCCCCAAAACCCCCCTAAATATTGACCTAGAGCAACCAAATTTGCACAGGGGCGAGAACTCCAGGGGGCCCACCTACCTACCAAATTTGGTGTTTCTAGGTGCCATAGGAGCCAATCGCGAGGGGGGGGGTCGCATCGACCCCCCCTGCCAGGCCGTGTTATGAAAAATGCCCTGCCAGGGCGAGGGTTAGGGTCAGGGGTGTTATCCAGGGTCAGGGGTGTTACTCAGGGTCATGAGCGCTGCATAAGGCCAAAGTCATCGTCAATTTGATTGTGTATTTGATAGTAATTCTGGCTCTGGCACATATACCTACTTTGTTCTCCGGTCACGGGATAGGCAACTTGCATACAGGACGTGATTCTAATAATTATATCAAAAACGTGAATTTTTTTATGATTTTGGTAAGAGTTATGGAGAGAGAGAGAGAGAGAGAGAGAGAGAGAGAGAGAGAGAGAGAGAGAGAGAGAGAGAGAGAGAGAGAGAGAGAGAGAGAGAGAGAGAGAATGCCCTATTCGAAATCGATGCATGGTAACAAGTTTGACACATTTGATTTTGATCTTCCAAACCGGGTTGAACTGTCGCCAAAAGTTTCCAAAAGCCTCAGACCCATTGTGTGGAACTAACGGGTCCTACGAAAAAGGCGTGGCTGTCAGCAGCATTGTTTTCTTTGAAGTTTTGACGTCTCAGCAGAAAGATGAGATCAAACTGTTGACTTCTTACTAGCTGTGGCGTTGTGCCGAGCAGCTACTACCTTTTATTTTGTGTTTTCAGAGTAGAGGTGTTTTGATAGCACATTTTTGGATGAATTCCCTTGCAGTAAGAGAGAGAGAGAGGGAGAGAGAGAGAGAGAGAGAGAGAGAGAGAGAGAGAGAGAGAGAGAGAGAGAGAGAGAGAGAGAGAGTGAGAGAGAGAGAGAGTGAGAGAGAGAGAGAGAGTGAGAGAGAGAGAGAGAGAAAGAGAGAGAGAGAAATACACAAACATTATATCAAGTCTGACAGCCACTTGACATTGACACATGACACTGTCACTGACAAAGAACACTGGTATATATGACACTGACAGCCATCAGCCTGACACAGCAGCCCCCTCAGCCCTCCCCCCCCCCCCTCCCACTATCAGCAAGTCGTTAGGCCGTGGATCGTTGCCCCTGAGGCGTTGGTCGTCTGAAGCTATTTAGATTAACGACTGTGACCTACCGTCCTTCTGACCTGGGCCGCAGTTAGGGGGAGGGGTAGGGCAGAGACATTCGAGGAGGAGGGGTAGTTACAGTGATGACCTGTGTCGTATCCCGTCACGGGCCGCCCACCTAGGAGAAGAGGGAAGGGGAGGGGGAGGTCGTTGAGAGGGCGGCTTCATGAAAGGGAGCTTATACAGGGCCAGGGGTCACGGTTAGGTGTGCGGCCATGCCGTCTGGCTGGGATGGCTCTGCGGTCAGAAATATGCGACATTTATGGTCACCGCGACTATGGTCATGCGACTGAAGACTGTTCAATTCGAAAGGTTCCCCGATTTTTTGTCAAAAGTACTCTACTTGATAGAAATTATTTTCCCACTTTGGGAAAATAATCTTGAAATAGAAGAATAAAGGAATTGGCAAACCCATCAAGAAATAAAAACTATCCCGAAGAAGTTGTGTCACAATATCCCCGGATTTTCGTTTGCATCTCTACTTCTCATGTCTCCATAAATTGTACGAGTCTTAATTGTTCACACCGGGAGGATAGTAAGTCAGGAGAGATGAATTTTGGACCAAAAGTCACGACACTGGCGAAACTGTTGAAGATAACATAGCGGGTTTTTGGGGTCTGCATAGGTCAATCGTAAATACGTTTCCATGTCATATTTATGAGCTACCTTCAAGTTCAAAAAAGTTTCGCTTCTCAGTTTAACCCTCGCCCGCACATGCCATTTTCCCATCCTAGAACGCACATGGGGGGGGGGGGGGTGGTTGCCACCCCCCCGCGCCATTTCGTTCCTGTTGGAGATAGAGCTTAGCGGTAAGGACCAAAAAGATTTTTTGGGAAGAGACGAATCCAATGATACCCAGTTTTACCTTCTCAGGTCAGTCATTGACCTTCCAGGTTAGTTCAAACTAAAAAATGTTGCTGTTTTGGGTCACCGTTGGATATCAAGTGCGCTGCTTATCATATACCGATGACGATGCCCTTTTCTGGTGCCAAGCCAGCTAGAACCTCTTTGTCACACTATCCGACCAGGTTTTTGCCGCTGAGGTCATTTCAGGTCAAGTTAGGTCAAGGTCAATGATATGTGTTTGTATGTCTGTGTGTGTCTGTGTGTATACTGATGTGTGCACCGATTGTTTATGTGTCCATATTACATGAAATCATGATCTGACAAGCTTTTACCAAAAATGCAGTCAAAAAACTTAACAAAAAGTAAATTCAGCTTGCCTAAAACGCAATTATCTTAGATGACCTAGGTTGACCTTGACCCTGACCTTGACATCTGTACATCGTCGAACAGCATGTTCGATGATAGGTGGGAGGTAAGACTGGCAAAAAAGGCTGAAATCAAGGTGTCAAAAGCTCACAAGGCTCATAGCCAACGCAAGATGTTGAGAATTGGCCATTTGGGTCATGACATGACCTGAAAAACAAGGTCATATCTCCGAAACCAAAAATCACAGAAACTTGAAATTTTCAGTGGACATCAAAAAAGGATAGAGGAGCAGCTATACGAAAAATCAGTCTTCTAGCTCTAAAAATGTTGAGTGCAGAGCAGAAAGACTACCTGGGGGGGGGGGTGGCAACCACCCCACCCCCCATGTGCGGGCGAGGGTTAAAACAGTTTTATGCAGAAAATGCTGAACGGGAAACTTATGTTGTGTTCGTTCATTATCCCTTTTGGAGTACGCATGGTTAAATTCTATCAAAGTTCAATTATGACGATATTATACAAATAATGTCATGCAAGAGCAACAGAAAAGAAGCACTAAATGACCTGTCCCCCGGACAAATTACGCCCGATTTGTAGCCCGGCCTGCCG